TCTGAAATCATTTAGTAGAAATATTAACTTACATACCAGTTCGATTTTGAGCAAAGTGACATCAATTAGAATAGTAAATTTCTGGACTGCTGCCAGTCCCTTCAGCAGAGAAATCACCCATGTCTCCACATGCTGTGCTAGAGGCCAGGAAAGCCAGTCAATCATCCTGAAAGAGAAGGGACATCATGTTCTCTGCACTGAGATTCTCTAGCCACAAGAGATTCAATAACTGGAATTAGATGTTTTGTCTAATGATAGATATACTAATGAGCCAGTCCTGTGAAGTAAACACGGTTATCTAGCATTCAACCACTGCTATACAGACCGTGAATAGCCAACATCCTATAAAATATCATGTAGATCAATCCCCAAGTGAATTATGCCCAAATTTACCCTCAACAGGGTAAAAAAAAAGGCCAGAATATACAAGAAAATAGGTTACTCCCCCTAACCTTATAATGGTCCAAGCAACCCATATATAAAGCATGTCCCAGGACACACATCTGATACCTGCTATTTTGCCAGATGACAATTGTGTAGTACGCAGGGCATTCAGGATGGGAAAAAGTCTAATACTGGCCATACTCCTAGCAATTTTATTGTAATATGCGCACACTCCATTCAGGTTTCTGCGCTGCAGCAATCCGTAGTGGCATATAGTGCGCTGGGATAAAATGCAGCATGCTTGCATTTTATCGCAGCAAAACCGCCCACCGAGTTGTGGTGTGAATGCGACAAATAAAAAACAAAACATGTGTCCTTGCGGTGACCTACCTTGATCCGGAGCAAGACAAAGCAACAAATGTGTGAACGGGCCGTGAAACTAGTACAAAGCAACAAAATCACTCTAAAGCCAGTTCATCAGTTGAAAAAAATGGATTTCCGCTACAATTGTGGCAACTCGGAACTACCGGTAGCAAACAATTTAAACTGGGAGTAATAGATGGATGCAGCTAAAAGTCCAAAATTACAAACATATGATGCCTTGAACATCAATCAACCTGGAAGAGGAGCGGTGCAGCAAGTCGGTGGGGGCACCACAGGAGATGAGTATAGCAACCAGAGACATTTTTAGGTTTATTAAGCTGCTATAAGGATTAACATGAAGAAAACCTTCCACAAGTGTTCCCTTTAGGCCTGATTCACACCTGGGCGTTTTACAGCGCGTTCCTACGTGCTGCAAAAACGCTCAACATGTGAAAACCAACAATTGCCTATGGGCATGGTTCCCACCTGGGCGTATTTCAGCGCGCTGCAAAACGCCCTATGCTGAAAGAAGTACAGGAGCTTCTTTGGGGTGTATTTTCCGCACGTATCCATTAGGATACAGCCGGATAGCCCCCGTAAACGCGCGTTTGTCACACGTTTCTTTTCGCGGTAAAATGGTGCAGCACGAAACGCGCATATTCCGTACGCCCAGGTGTGAACCCAGCCATAAGGTGAAGCTTTAAGAAATGAAACATGAGTGCTGTCATTGCCATCTTTTGGCCCCATTTACACCTCAGCATTTTATCACGTTTCCCGAAGCACGTAACACTCAACATGAAGATTCCAATTATTTTCAATGGTTCCTGTTCACACATAAGTGTAGCTTGAAAAAAAAAAAACATGAGCCTCTTTTAAAAGGCAGATGCACAAATTTTTGGGAAACCATTACCGTTTCCTCCTATTAACTAGCATTACTAGGAAGGTTCAACACTGCCTGGAAACGTTCACGCTTAAGTGTGAATAGAATGTAAATGTGTAGGCTATGCAAGCTTCATTTTGCGATTTGTCACTAACACAGGGGTGAGGACTCTCTCCCCTTCCTAAAGTGACAGCGCCACCAGTCAATTGGTAGGAAGAGTAATGAGTCACATGTTTCAGTGTGTGTAGTCACCATTAGGCAATGTCTACATCAAGTGTTGTTCCACTTTTGCAATTAAATGAAAGAAAACCCCACTATATTTTTCTTATATGTTCCTATTTACACAGCACACCTAAAAATGATTTTGAAATATATATATTTCTTACCGTTGTTAGCATTTGTTCTTTGGTGAAGACCTTCGTGTAGATTCCAGTCTACTCTGAGCAGTCTGAAAAGTGAACCTATAGTGCCAGACTGAGCTTTCTCTTATTAACACACAATGCCTTGAAGGCTTTAACCCTTTGTCAGGACAGACCGTGTTCAAATCTAGTTTACAATTGATAATGAGATCTGCCAGCACAGTACAGACAGGGTTAATTAAAGTAAACATGACTTCCCACAGCCCCCTGCTTAACATTAGGTAACTACACTTTCCCAGGTGATCTTGGGAAAATGGAATTACCCCCTCTAGGGCTGCAACCAACTAATCAATAATGAGAATAGTTCTCAACTATTCTCATTATTGATTAGTTGGTTGGATCCCCTAGTTCTTTCCTCCACGCTGGGAGGAGGGCACATCAAACAGTGGGTGGGTGCAATAGCCAGCCTGCTATGGGGTATTGCAATTTGAAATGGCCAAAAGCAGACTGGCCATTGCACCAGCCCACTACCTGCTGTATTTACATTCAGCAGTCGTCTGCGGAATCTTGCCACTGGCAGCTGTCATTCCCGGGCTGAAGCTATTCAAGCACCATGTGCTTACAATGCAATTATTAACCAGTTGACATCTGGGGTGTTAAACCCCCTTCCCATCCAGGCCATTTTTCAGTATTCAGCGCTGCGGTACTTTGACTGACATTTATTCCGTCATGCAACGCTGTACTGAAATGAATTTTATACCCTTTTTTGGGGACAGATAGAGCTTTCTTTTGGTGGTATTTATTAAGGAAAAACTACAAAAAAAAACAGTTCCCCATATATTAAAAATTCTAAAACATTTATTATTACCAAATTTTTTGGTAAAATATAAAAGACGGGGTCACGTCGGGTAAAGAGACAAAGTAACGAGCGGGTCTTTCCTGCCTGTGCGCGCAGGAAAAAAATGCCGTCTAGCGACGGCAACCCGCGGTTGCGAGTCTGCCGTCCGTCCTTTTAACGGGCGGACGGCAAGAGGTTAAAAAAAAAAAACAATTATATTACGGTGGGAAAAAAAAGTCATCTTCAGTTTCGGGCCTGATAAATTTTGCTGCGGCAGGTGCCATTCATTTCAATGGCACCCCAAACGTGCGTCCAACCCACGGTGTTATTGTCTGCACTGGAATGCACGGCACCGTGCTGCCGTGCGTTCAGTGCAGCGCAATTGCAAAAAATGTATGCATGCAGTTTTATTCTGAAGTAAACTTTGTTTGTAAAACTGCATTTATGTATATTATTTTAAATTAAGCATGGCATTTATTAAATGTTTTTGATCTGATTAATCGAAAAAAATTATGGCCCAACTAAGCGATGACATTAATCATTCGTTGCAGCCCTACATGGAAATACAGTTAGGATTTCATAACAGTGTTTGCCTTTGCCTACAAGAAGCACAAGCTAAGAGAAAATGGTAGTTTGTAATCAGCATGGCATAATATACCTGCAGAGAGCCTGAGTCATGCTTGCATCTTTCACATTGGGATCCGTGGTCAAACTTCTGATGAGAACAGTAATCATCTGTAAGGGAATGTGCTGCACAAGGCTTGCCAGAGCAACAGATGGTTCAAATGAAGCATCTGAAACACAATAATGACGTTGGATATTTTTTTAGCCATATATATGATTAGATTGCACCAACATATTTAAAGCATTGAATCCAAAACCTTAATTCATTTCATGAATTCAGATCAAACCTCCTCTCTTATGTCTGATAAAGACATCTTTGTCGTCTTCCAACACAGAAAAAATTAATATAACAGAGAGCCTCCTGTCGGCAACGTTTAGACAAGCACGCTGCTCCTGGCTCTAACAGTTTAGTTTACGGATATCACCAGAACACTTAAGGACAACTGTACCTTTAGTATAATTCTTACAGTCCTTCAATCCCCCCCGTAGTGCAGCCTTTCTAGTAAAATATTGACTTTCCTCTCCATTCTAGCAATCCCTACTGTGTGGCCCTTCCTGGTGCCACACAACCTTTAAAACAAAAATGTCCTCACTAGTCTTCTTGGTTCACATGTGCACCACGGTCTTATTAATTCCTATGGATGCAGCATACTCATGGTTGCCATCAGCTGTCCAGCAAGAGGGCCCTGTGGGGACATTTTTGTTGCAAAGGCTGGGAGCACCAAAGAGTGAAGATTGCTGGAACAGGAAGATGGGTAGGTAGTTTAACAGGAGGGCTGCACTTGGTGGTGGGGCTATAAATAAAAAGGACAACTGTACTTAAAGGTGCAGTTCTCCTTCAAGGGGAACTTGGTAGGGAAGAAATATGGAAGCTGCTTTGCTATGAACAATTAGCCTTGAACAAATGTCAAACTGGAACGACCAGTTTGCTGTGTGGCTACCCCTTGCTGTGTGGCTACCCCTGCAGTGCGAGGGTGAAATGCTCGTTTGTGTCTAGGGACAAAAATAACAAAGATATACTCATCCGAAGCTCTGAGCTGGCCAGCTGTCACAACGCTCCCTCCAGTCTGTCTCCTCCTCCTCCACATTGGAATCTTCCTCAGCATCCTCACGTCTATACACAGTGTATAGAACGTGATGATTTGCGGGACCTTAGGACGCTGCAGAGGAGGGAGAGAGACACTCACAGGACTGGTCTAGGAGCAAGCTGGCTCTGAGCTTTGGGCGAGAACAACTTTTTTTTTTTAACCTACACACAAACGAGCACTTAATCCTTGCAGTGCGGGGTTAGCCCCACTGCAAGGGTTAATTAAAAAAAAATTCCCTGGAGTTCTTAAAGTAACACTTACAGGTCGTCTTCCTCCCCTGGCCTGTGAAAAGAGGAGCAGGAGACTGATGAGCCAATATCTCTGTCACTCTGTGCGCTCTCCTATCAGCATGTTTCTTATTAGAACAGAAGCACTGCAGCATAATTGAATGGCTCCTTGTGCTGCTTCTTATCTCAGTCTAAGCTCTGCTGTACAGGACACTCCAAGAGGCGTATACCAAATCAAATCCAGGTACCTACACTGCTTGCATTTAAAAAAAAAAATACATTTAATAATGTATTCATTAAAAGAGTAAAGCCAAACAATTATTTTTACCAATGTACTCCTGTGATCCAAAGTCAGCATACAGCGGGCTACTACCTGCTATATTCTGAGCCATGCCACAGCCAGGAAGGCTCCCGACTACACTGTCAGGATCCACCCAGCTGCCTGATCGACAGCTGGCTCTGACTCTATAGAGCCAGCTGTGCACGCCCCCTCCCATCAGTCCCTCCAATTAGCACTGGAGGAACATATAGTGGAACGATGACGGCAGTCATTGCTCTCTGCCGGGAGAACACTGCAAGCTGAGCGATCAGCGGTTACATGATCGCTCACCTCTCAGTATATAGAGCTGGTGTGTGACAGCTGCAGTGTCCCATGTGGGCTCTAAGTATTGGGAAGAATATATTTTACTCTCCCAATATACCCCAAGAGTTGCATTAATGTGTATTTTGTCTGTCTTTCGATTTAGATATTTAGATATCTAAATTTAGATATTCATCTGCTCAGTCTAGGAAATATCGGAACATGTGCTACCAATGAAAGTCATCAAAACATTTTTTGTTTTGGTGAACTGGCTACACGGTTTCTAGGATTTGTCCAGCTCTGTGAATAGTATAACATTTAGGAAACATGTGAACACTTACCTGTGGAAGAAATAATTGCAAACACTTCTTGCAAAGATGGGAGTAAAGTGCATGGCTCAGCTTTCCAGATATTTTGCAGCAAACCACTAACTTTGGTAACTTGAGAAACATACTCCCTTAACTCCTTTTCCGATGTAGAGATACACTGAAAATGTCCAATTGTCCTAACAAGCTGTTGGCAAAAGGCAATGGACATTTTCCCTTTGGGCACACATTGCACAAAGTCACTGAGTAGTTCACTTAACTTAGCCGATAACAATGGTTCCGGTCTTTCACATACCAGTCTCAATACTTCTACTTGCAAAACAGCAAATATGTCTAAAACAGATGGGCAGCTCATAATCAACTTGAGCCCACTATGAATATAGTCAATAATAGCTACATCTTTCCGGTCTAAAGATATATAGCCTTCTTGCAAGAGGGTCAGAACGAAGTTTCTATTGAAAAAGTTTTCAAACTCAGCGCGGTGATATCTTGCATAGGCTTCCAAAACCTGGTGCCCGACTTGCTTTTGAAAATAGTCCTCTCCTTCCAGTATTAAGCGAGTGGTGAGACTGAACATAGCTTTGCATTGCTCCTCGTTGATAGAGTTTTCAGCAGACTCAACAACCTTTTTAACAATAACTTTCTTCAGGTTCAGGGGATGGTTGGAAGTCACCAAGCCTTCCAAAATCTTGTCCATTCTGACTCCAGATAACTACTTCCACATCTGAAATTGAAATAAAATGGCTATTAAAACTGAGGTCTAAACACTTTATTTTCTGCGTGGGGGCATGTTAGCCCCCCTATGTGATAGCTTAAAGAGGACGCGTTTCACCAAATCCTGGGGTACGATTAAGCCCAGGATTGGGCGAAACACATTAGAGGTGGTGGACCCGAGTCAAGACTTTGTGTAACTGTGATTTTAATTAAATTGAGGTTTCTAGCGACACATGGCGTGCGGCCGGATGTTTTATTGTTTTGACGGCAGCTAACGTGAAAGTGAGGACAGGCTCCAGCCGGTGAGCACTTGGTTTTCCACCACTTGTTTGCTGTGGAGGAGCGGTGTAACCTTTTGAGTGTTTTGTATTCGCCACCTTGATACCTCCTCCAGGTGTCTGGCTGTAGCTACTTTCTACCAATGGCACATTACCATTTGTACTAAAAGGTGAAGTGTTATTGTTAAAGAATTAGAAGCTGATAATTTCAAGCAAATCAATAATTGGACTTTTCAGGTGCTGCAATGATACGAGTTCCAAAAAAGTTAGTATCAACTTTTATTCATATATTTAAAAGGGTATATATTATATTTTTTCCATAGATCATGTGGTCTGATGGCAGTGGTCTCTTTCAGCAGGATAATGTGCTCAGCTACACTTCAAGAATGGTTTGAGGGACACAAGATGTTTGAGATGCTGACTTGGCCAAAATCGAGCATCTGTGATGTGCTGGAAAAATAAGTCCGATCCATAGAGGCCCCCCCTCACAACACACAGGACTTAAAGGATCCGCTACTGACGGCTTTGTGCCAGATACCACAGAATACCAGCAGAGGTCTAGAGGAGACCATGCCTAGACCTATGTGCCCTCCTCCCAGCGTGGAGGAGAAAGCTGGGGGATCCAACCAAATAATCAACTATTCTATATACCGCTTGGGGACGGGAAACCTCAGTCTTCAAGCGGTTAAAGTTAACACATAATAAACTTTTTTTTTGGTATAGCCTCTTCTGCAGAATCCATGTTAATGGATTAATTCAGTAACATTTATCATACATCATTTGTAGTGTTCAGAGCATTTTGGTAAGTCTGCACAATGCTCACACTGAGCAACTCTTTAAATATGTAAGGTGAGGACTTGTATAGCCTAAAACCATGAAAGCATCCGTCAGACAGCAAGACCCTTATGTACATGAACAAGGACAGACACCTAAAATGATGAAACATTTCACACCAAAAACACTCTAGACCAGTGGTTCTCAAACTGTGTAACTTTAGGACCCACATTTGAAATTGGTCATCAAGTCGTGACCCAAGTCGCAGTAGTGCGTGTTCCAGTGTGGGCAATCGAACAGTGGGTGGGAGGTGCGTTTGGGGTTCCATTCAAATCAATGGCAATGTGACGCACCTCCCACACCAGAACGTGTGGTAGGTGTGATTGCATGATACAGCGTATTATTCGCACAGGACTCTGTGATAATGCATTGTACTAGTGTGAACGGGCCCTCAAAAACACACATGCACAACCACAGACAATCTCTCACACACTCCAAAAAAAAAAAAAAAATTGTAAATGTTTTTTTTCTTTTTTTAAGATCCACCCAGTCTCCCTACCTTAGGAGAACTGGAGTGGATCCTCATCCTGTGGTCCAGTGTAGGTGCTCCATCCATATGTACATTGCTTGTACAGCTATCTTGCGCACCCTGTAGAGGTGTTGTGAACCAGAAAGGGACGTCACTCCGTTCAAGGACCTCTACAGGGTACACGAAGGAGCTGTAAGCAATGCAAGTTTGGATGGAGCTCCCTTGCGGCCATAGCTCCAGCCCATCCCACCTCAAGCGGACATTAGGCGATGGGCAGCATATTTTGAATGGTTGCTTGGTGTGAGAACTGACAGTGCTACACTAGGGGGAGACTGAGGAGCCTCTCCCTTAGCAAAGTGGAAGGCACATGACGACCCACTGAACATGGTGTCACGACCCACCAGTTGAGAGCCACGGGTCTAGACTACATTCACACTAGCACTCTAGTGTTTACGTTATTTAATGCACAACTCCCTGGAGGAGAGAAAAAAAAAAAACCCCGGCAACGCAAGGGTTAAATAAAAGAACCATTACTTACCTTAACCCTCGCTTGGGAACTCTCCTCTTTTCTGGCTGTCAACAGTCCCTTGGTGTCATCATGTACAATGCGAGACTAATAATGTATGTGAAGGAGGCAGATGTGACCGCAGCCATGGACTGTGCCTTGGATGCTTTGCAGGACTGGTCACACAGATGGAGGAAGCCAACAGGAGCCAGGCGTAAGGGAAGAATTACTCTCTCTGGCTCCATTCGCACATGGTGTTTCCCACATGGCACAAAAATGTGCAAATTTTAAAATAAGCGGGGATCCTGCCCGAAATATCGTGCTTGGACTTTAAATGTATTTTGTTTGGCGCGCTAATGTGTGAGCGGAGCCTTACCCTTGGAGCTTGTTCACACAAGCCTGCTTGCCAAAACACACTGCAAGGGTTAAGTGCTCATTTTTTCTAGGGTAAAAAAAGAAAAAAGATGTTATACTCACTTAGGCCTGGTTCACACCTGGGCGTTTTGTAGCACGTTCAAACGCTCTGCAAAACGCTCAAACACCAAAATACCATTGTTTCCTATGGGTATGGTTCACACCTGGGCGTATTTCAGCCCATCTGAACACGCTACAAAACTGCCTACGCCCAAAGAAGTACATGTACTTCTTTGGGGCGTTTTGGTCGCGCGTTTCCATTGGGATACAGCCAAGTAGCCATCGCAAAGGCGCGTTTTTTTTAACGGCGAATCGCTGTAAAAACGCACGACTTTAGACCGCTGTAGCGGAGGGGGACAGAGGCTCTGGGGACCGGTTCAAAAGCCAGCCAGCTCTGAGGATTACGTGAGTATATTTTTTATTTTAGCAACTAAACATAAATGAGAAGTTGACTCTTGCAATGTGGAGGTAGCCCCACTGCAAGGGTTAAGAATCATTTTGCCCAGAGTTCGGCTTTAATTCCCCCTTACACCAGCGATTAGGTCTACATGCAAATTTTAGTGGCAAGAATCTGCAGATGGCTGTAGCCTGAATGACAGGCTGTAAATAGCGGCTGCTGCTCAACCTATACAAAAGGCTGATGGCCACTGCAGCTGTTTGAGGCTCTTTGGATGTAAACAGACATCTATCGTTTACCTGCAGTTAGGGACGCACGATCATCCATGGCTACCGACAGACTGCGTCTAGCGATGATCATCTGTCCCCAACTGCAGGTGATTGGTGGAAGTTTGATTACATCTGAACAACAATGGTCGCCATCAGCCTGTCATTATTTTGTACAGTCTGGTCATTTACATGCGCCTATGATTCCAGCCACAGGAATCCACAGGTTCTTGCCACCCAAATTCACACATAGCCTTAAAGTGACATTAAAGTCAAAAATGTTTTTCCCTCCCCCCAATGTTAATGTCAGCACTTACCTTAAATGATGTCTCTTAATCCGATCTTTCTTGTCCTTTTCATCTGTCCCTCCAGCGGGTCTCCGGCTCAGCGCTGACCCCTCTGAGCTTGCTGGCACTACCTGTGCACGCGTCCATAGACTTACCTTGTGTCTCTCCTCGCGTCCCGCCCGAAAATTTGATCTGCGCATGCGCCCGCCCCAAAATTTTCACATTTTCAGACGGGAGCGTGCGGGGAAGACACAGGTAAGTAGTAACCCTTTTCAAAGTTTTTTTTAACACTTTTTGCATATATCTACTGCTTGCTAGCAGTAGATATATGCAAAACAAATGGCGGCTTTAATTATCCTTTAATCAGAGGTGTAAGTGGGGCCTAAATAGTATGCCAGGGATTAGCTGCCATTTTTAAAGCAGTGAAATAGAAAGAACCTGATTGCTGGATTGTACTTCTTTTACCTCTTTATTTGATAACATGTATGTGGTGAAGCTGTTTGGCTCAGCCATCAAATGAGGAGGAAGAACTCCAGGAACTGTCAGCAGATTCTAACATTGCGAAACAAACTAAATGACTGGCCACAATCTGCCAGTGACAGACTGTGCTACAGGGATCTCCCCAGAGACCACCACACAGGGCTCCCCCCAGAGACCACCCCACAGGGCTCCCCCCAGAGACCACCCCACAGGGCTCCCCCCAGAGACCACCCCACAGGGCCTGTCACAATTAACCCGGTATCGCTCTCTCAAAAAACCGGTCCCTAGTTACCAACACACACTTACCGGCCGGTCACAAGATGTGGTGGACTCTCTCTCCTCTTCAGATGCCGGGCTGTCTATGGAAACGCTTCCTTCCCTAACCTCTATAAGCGTCACCTCTCAGCGATCCCACACACAGCGCCGCCATATTGCTCCTTCACAGCCGGGCTCTCTGGGCGGAGCCTAGCTGGCGCTTAGTGATTGGACGAAGGCTCGGCGACTGGTCACAATCTTCTCTCTTTCTCCACTCCTGTTGCCATAATCATCACTCTCTACTAGCCGGTTAGACCTATATCACGTGATTGACAGAGCGGGCATTTTTACTGTGGGCAAAACAAAGCAGTTTTCGAGCTACTCCTTCCAAAGCTTTTTTTCAGGCGTCGTCGAGGCATGTTGTTTTTGGCCAGGCGGTTGCAGTTCTACCTCGTCGTTTTCGCGTTTTAAGTTATACTTCAACCAATGTAATGGACTGCACGGATAAAAGATGGCTGACGCGGCTTCATGACTTTGTCTGTGACAGCCAATTGGATTCTTGCCAAAGGGCAGAGCGAAAAACAGAGGAACCCGGTCCCGCCCACATTGCGGGGTAAGCTTGATGACGTCATCCTTCTGGTTAACAATCAAAGAGAAGCAGACATTAAGCCTATCTTGTGATACACATGGCTCATGTCTCCTGCAAATGGTGACTGGCATGTTGAACCACCTGCTTCCTAACCCACATCAAGAACACAGATATGACCCTCTAGCTTTTGTCTGACTTTCCTGATCTGATACTTGTTCTGGATCATTGATTCAGCATAACAACTAAGCAAGTAGCATTTCCAGAAGGTCAGGATTAGAAGCTGCAGTATGCCTTTCATCATAGGGTTATTTAAGATACACAACACTTGTGTATACCTCTCAACTTACTGAGATGAGAAAGAAGGACACCTTATACGCCCGAATGCGTCCATAGAAACAATGGGTGCCGCCATTTTGGTGCACCCAAGAGGGTGGTGTGTCTTCTAACGTAAAGCCAGATGTACCAAGATGGGGGTGTCTATACAACAAATTACTATATGCCCGAATATATAGTAATTTGTATATTTGGGTATATAGTAATTCAGATGAACTAGATGACAGGAATTCGTTGATTTGGCAGTTTGTCCAAATCCAAATGCACATCTCAACAATTATTCTTCAGTGAGAGAACTCATACAATGCAGTGCATTCTCTCTGCACCTTTCCCCCTTCCTATACGGCCTCATATCCTTCCATTGTGTCAGTCTGAGGAGCACTCTGCGCTTATACCGTGTTTCCCCGAAAATAAGACACTCACTGTCTTATATTTTTTCTGGCTCAAAAAAACACACTATGTCTTATTTTCAGGGTAGGTCTTATTTTTTTTATTTTTTTTTAATGTACAACAATCCACACTTATTCATGTACAAAAATAGGGTCATCAGGGCAATCAGCGGTGCCGTACCATTCCAAGAGCAATTTGCTAACCAATCGCTGGCCAGAATGAGCGAAGCGCGCTTTCACTATCGATTCCTCACAGGCGGAGTGCATTTGGTATCACTCCGCCTGTGGCAGGAGGAGGCACCGGCTTATGCGGCTCTGCTACCTCTGATGCCACCTCGTTTCCTCTAACGCTGGCTTCGTTGGCACCGCTGATTGTCTCCCGCAGCTCTTCAAGTTCCCTCTTATGCCACCACCGGCCCTGGGAATGGTCACAACTAGGTCTTATTTTCGGGGTAGGTCTTATATTTTAGCAACTCCCAAAAAATAGTAATAGGTCTTATTTTCGGGGTAGGTCTTATTTTCGGGGAAACAGGGTACGTAACTTCCTCCCAGTCAGTGCTGCCTCGGAGGAAGAATGAGCGCAGGCAGAGACTTCTTAGGAGTGCGCCTCCTTAATGAGACTGCAGTTGCGGTCGTCTTAACAATTGTATCAATGAGGCTGGCCGGTCTCATTAAGGAGGCCACAGACGCAGAGCGCACTCCTAAGAAGGTAAACGGGGCAAAATTGATTTTTTAAAAGAAACGATGGGATGGGGGAAAAAATTAAGAAATAACTGTACTGTCCCGTTATGGTCAGCCTAAGCATGAAGGATGTGATTCAAGCACCCCCTCCTCGCTACTTCCCCTTTCACACAATGTCTTGAGGAGAATTTATAATATCTGGAGCAGTTGCCCACAGCAACCTCTTCAGTTTCTCTCTTCAGTTTGTTCAGTTAAGCTTTGAAGGTAAAACATAGAAGCTGATTGATTACTATGGGCAACTGCTCCAGATTCTGTCTTTTCCTGCTTTGATACAATCCCCTGCTTGTATGTTTCTCTAAAGAACACACTGGGGGTATTTACTAAAACAGTAGTCTGCTGCAACTGTGATAGTAACCAATCAGCTTCTCTCTTCTGCTTGTTTAGTTAGACCCCTTTCACAGTACAGAGCCGATGTCACCGCTGTGACATCCATGTCTTTCCAGTTTTTTCCTCTATCTTGCGAAAAAACTAAGACTGCAGAATCCCATATTGGTCTATGGGGAGTTGGATGTAAACAGGTCCAGCGATACAGAACAATGTTCCATTTTTCTTTCCATTTGAGTTCAGGGTAACCGGGTGTAAACAGACATCTGTCCGTTTAGACCCAGCTGCCCATAGACTAACATTGAGCATCCGATCGGGTCCACCTGAAAAAATGAAAGGCGGATCTGATCGGAGTGCCCGTGTGGATTTACCTTAAGTGATGCCTCTTAATGCGAACATCTTCCTTCCACTAGTTTTCAACAGTCCCCCTAGCGTTAGTGCCGCTCTCTGATCGCAGACTCCTATGTCATCTGTGTCCGACGGAGTCTGTCCTGCGTGCATGCTCTTACACTGTGTCACTCCTGCTCTCCCCTCCGGTGATATCACGTGCGCATGCGCCCACACACATCCTCCTGCACGGGAAGATGTGTTCTGCAGCCAGGAGCGAGCAGCACACAGGTAAGTTATTATATATTTGGCCACTTTTTCAATGTTGGGGCATATATCTACAGCTTGCTAGTAGTAGATATATGTAAAAGAAAATGAAGACTTTAATACCACTTTTAGAAAGAGAGAAGCTGACTATGAACAGCTGATCCAGATTCTGATTCTGCCCACTCCAGTTTTAGTAAGTTCCCTCAAGGCATTCTGGGACTGAATCACATTGCCTTGTATTCTTTGAGAAAATTACAAGGTATTTTGTAAATGAACGGAAATATATTATTTTTCTCTTGGGTTTAGATACACTTTAAGCCTCCAACTCCCTAAAGTGTCCTTTACCTAATTCCCAAACCTTAAAGGAGAACTATGAGGTGAGTGATTTTCACTCAGCCTCATAGTTCTAGCCAACCTGTGACTATGAAACTGTCACAGGTCGGCTCAGTAGATCAGGAAGTGAGCGAACACATACCGCCGCTTTCTCACTTCTCGATCCTGTCCTTGCAGAGAGCCATGACTCACGGCTCCCTACAGGGATTCCCCCCTCACCTGTCCGATCCTCCAGCGCTGACTGGCGGAACTGACAGGGGGAGGGGGCGGGTACAGTTGGCTCTGCCTCTAGATAGGCAGAGCCAGCTGTCACTCACGCAGCTGGGTGTATCCAGACATAATTGTCGGGATCCATTCAGGATGTGGCGTCTCAGTATACCGCGAGCTGTGGCTCGCGGTATACTGAGCTTTGGGTGACGGAAGGACGCTAGTTTGTGTCCCGTTACCCTTAGGAGAACTATGGGGAAAAGCCCTAACCACATAGTTCTCCTTTAAACCTCATTTAAACTGAACCATAGTTCTCCTTTAAACCTCATTAAACCCCAGACTTTTAAGCCTCCTAAGTGAAATATGTCAACACTTTAAGTCTCCTAAACTAATGCCCTGACCCAATCCATTTCTATCTAAAGCCCCTGACCCTAATTCCTCCTTTCTACAGCCCCCAGAATTTAAAACAGCTAACCTGGTAAGCCAAAGCCACTGACACATAAAGTCCCCTAAACTAAACCTCTCGACCCTGTAAGCCCTCCTAACTAAAGCCGCCTAAACTAAAAATGTCTCTTTTTGCAGCCTGGCTGGTGAGTATGCTGGGAAACTTTTGTTTTTGTACTGTGTAAAGCCCTTCCATGTGGGCCTTACTTTAAAAGGTAGTTATGAATTCATGGTTGATGGTTGACCATTGATGGTTAACGTCCCCTAAATGAAAGCCTTAAACCATAAAACCCTCAATCCTAAATCAATTTTCTGCCTTCCTCTGGATCAACAGTGGGTAACTGTGGGTATAGCTTTCTGTTGAAGGTTTTTATTTCCTTTTTTTCCCCCTCTTCTATTATAACTCTATAGGTTGAATTCGATGGACTTGTGTCTCTTTTTAACCTGACTAACTATGTAACTATGTAACTGAAGCCTTATAAACTGAACC